AGTAATGTTTAAAAACAGAGCTGCCGTGTACTTTTTCTCGAGAAAACCCTTTGCAAGCAAATACGCAACTCTTAAAATTTGGTGTTCAGTCGAGTGATTTGCTCTAAAGCCGAATTGGGCATCAGGTATGGCGTTCGTAGCGTATAAGAATTTATTTAGCCGGGCTAAAATCATTCTATCAAACACCTTAGCTAATGAAGGTAATAGGCTAGTTAGTCTGTAGTTATAGTTGTGGACATTTATTTGATTTGTTTTTTGAAATAATTATTGCGTTTTTCCAATTTCTTTGGTAATAACCTAGTCTTAAAGCTGCACTTAAAATAGCTGTTATTGCTGCAATTGCGGTGTTTGGTAATTCTTTTAATATTTGGCTAGTTCTTAGGTCATTCACAGCTGCTTTTCTGTTTTTGATCCTGTTTATTGTGCGTTTAAGTTCTGCGGGGGATATGAATTTTGTTCTGGGGAGTATATAGGTTGCTTTTTACTGTTTAAAATTTCCTCATTGAACACATGGTTTACTATTGGATTGGGTTTTAAAGTGTTTAAAAAGTGAACTGCAAACGCCTCCGCTTTTTCTTCACCTGTATAGAGAATACTAGTGCCCGATTTTAATGGTGGTATTCTAGATTATTGTCTGGCAACCTTTTTGATAGTAGTTCATAGAGAAGGTGAGCCGGGGATAATTTGCGCTTAAATGAACTATATCTATGATCGTCGATTAGAAATTTGACTTTTTTGCATAAGGAGTTCCATTAAGTGTGGCCTTCTATACAACTGTCAGAGCCTTCTAATCCTGTGTTTGTCTTTTATCAAGTCCACGATGTGTTTCGGTAGCCAGTAAGATGAATGTTTCTTACATTGCACTGGTTGAGTGATTGTTTAACCGCGATGCTTATTGCTTCTAATAGATTATTGATTGGTAGGTCAATATCAGTTCCGTTTTCGAGATCTTTTGGGAACGAAAATTGCGTGGCTGTTTTTATCCTAAAGAGATCCCAGTTTACTTTACCATTTATTAGTGTTCTTAAATTTTTAACTTGAACAGTACTCTGAAATAATATGATCCGAATTGAGATCAGGTTTTACCGAGTGAAAAAAGGGGCAATTTATGTTTGTGGTTAGACTTATGTCAAGAATGTCCGGGGCGCCTTCATTATTAAATGGATACCGTGTCGGTGCAGGGGAGGCATGGATTAATATGTTATGATTCTGGGCGAACTGTAAAAGGTTACGACCCGCTTCTGTTGTAATTCTGCCGTTCTGTGCTTAATTTTTACTATTTAAGTCGCCTATGACAATGATTTTCTTATTATTATTGTATGCAATGTTATTATTGAAGTTAAATATTTTATTAAGGTCTTTATTGGGAATTTCTTATTAGGTGGTTTGTCGGCGCTTATTATTATTATTTCTCAATCGGGTGTTTTTAGATTTACGAGTATTGCTACCGTCTCCAGGCAGTCAGAAGTGAGACATTCAATTTGAGAGTGGGTAAGCTCTTTACGGATTATTATCGCGACCCCACCCGCAGCGTTATAAAAAGGTCTATCATTTCTATGTGTATATATATTATAACCCTGTATCTTGAATTTATCAGTTGGGTGGGAATGCGTTTCCGTAACGCAAGCTATTTGTATTTCGTGGAAGATAAAAAGTTCGTAAACATATTATCTTGTTTACTTAATCCATTTGCGTTCCAGTTTAATAGTTTTAAATCCGTGAGCTAGCTACGCTTCATTTTCGTAACGCGACCTGAATCTTATTTTGGATTAGTGGTAATAGAAAATTCACAATCTGAGTAATCACAGTACTTGTGACTGATTAGATTAATCTGTTCATATCAATGCCTTGATTCGTGAACAGCGTTGTATTTCTAACGTTCTCTTGAAAATTATTTAACGGTCTTCTCCAAGGGCCTGGTCTTTAGGGTAGGGGAGGTAATTGGACATTGTTAAATACACAATTGAAGTCTAATATGAAAAAAATGGTAGCTTTCAGGAAATATCAGATTTCAATGGCATTCAGCCACGTGAGACAGCAGCTGTAGTTCTGTAAATTACGTCTCATTGTTGGGACTTGGTTTAGCTGTATGAAACGCAGTTATAATTGTCAAATTTGTGTTGATATTTGCTTGAATATATTTAGTTTCCTCCTCTAATGTTCTACGATTGTTCTACAAAATGTTTTTTTGTTCAGCTACGAAGTTTTTTGATACGTTAATTTTAATTTCATTAATGAATGAGTTGATGTTAGTTATCTCGGCAATAAAAATTTGGGGTATTTTATTGGTTGTAGTAGACTGTGAAGATTGGTCATACTTTGGATAGTTAAAGCGGTTATCTGCGGGAAGAGAATTGGTTTCTTTGGGGTCTAATTCCGAAAATATGTTACCTACTGGGACATTGCGTGAAGATTGCAAGTCTATATTCTCATTTCTGAAGTTAAAGTTTTGGGCTACGGAGTCTATTGAAACATCGTAACCGTCTGTGGGTGGTGCACTGGCTAAATCTGATGTAGAACCTTTAACATAGTCACTGTCACTGTCACTTGCACAGTGTTTTTTGTTATTCGCTGTTGGAAAGCGTCCTCGCCTACTCACCTTTTCTTTGGTTGACGCTGGCTTCTACCTCATGCCGCTGCCTAAGGTTACGAGCGTTGTACCTTGCGATGGGTTCTTGGTAACAATTAAGTTCTGATAATAATAAATAATAATAATAATACTAATAATAATAATAATAATATATTATTATTTTATATTATTATTATTATTATTATTTGGCTACAATTGGCTGATTGCCAGGTGGTCACCATAACCCTACAGTTTTACAATATATGTACTCTTACAATTCAAAAACAATTTACAATACAATCCTTTCGAACATATACACTTAATATATAAATATACACAGACCTATATGCATCTATAGCACACATATACATATTCATATATATACACACACACACACACATATATATATATATATATATATATATATATACATACATACATACAAGTATACATACACACCTACATACACATTCTTATACGTGAATACTCACTCTCACATTCACACACTTGCCCTACATAGTATACATGCCTACATTTATATGAAGAACATATACTTAGTTACACCTAGTAAACATGCATAGATATACATATACATAAAATTAACCAGTTATACAATTTCTTTTTTTAATAGAAACACAATGTGGATTTTTATAGTTAGCTCTTTAAGTATCTAAAATTGTTCCCCATCCACTTTCTCACTACACTACACTTTCACCATATCTTTCTTTGGTTATGCCATATAATTAATTAAGGTAGCTGTCCACTGCACTACACTTTATCTATAATACGCTACAAATCACTTGAATTATGAATTCTGAGCTGTGCGGTAAAATACATCCTCTACAAGTATTTATTAAGTCGACATTGAAAAAACACCAACAGAGCCAGGAAAAGCTCTACGACGGCTTCACGGATTTCATTCCAATTTTTAACCGTACGATTTACAAATGAATATTGCCCTCAGTCGGATCTCTGACATCTACTTTTTATTTTGCATTTGTGTTTCTCCCAACTCTTGAGGGGGAGTCTAGTCTTTTCGTTCCGCCCATGCAGGTGACTTACTGTACGCCTTGAAGAGGCAGCACAATCTGGCTTTTTTTCTTCGCACACTGAGGGCCTCTATAGGTTTTGGTGGATTTGAACTTCTCGAAGATCCCTTATTTATGAATTTGTTTTTTTTCTTTTGAATTTTTTCTAACTCTTCAATCTGACCTAATCTGTATGGGTTCCATCCAGCTGATGCGTATTCAAGAATCGGCCTAAGTAAAGATGTTTATCCTATTTTTCGACTCTCCATGTTTCCCTCTTTAAGTGTTTTCATTACAAAGTGTAGTGACTTCCACGTTTTTCGGGCAATAGAAGTAACGTGTTTCCCCCATCCCAGGTATTGACGTAATATGACACCCAGATACTTGTGGAATGAATAAACCTCCCATTTGGTATTCTAAAGAAACCTTCTTTGCTGATTTCGAAAAGCTTAGTGATTGACTTTTTAAATGATTTATCTTCATTTTATTAATGGTAGCCCAGGAATGAATGTTATTAAGATCGTTTTGAAGTGTGAGAATCATCCGAATATATTTGCCGCTAAATTCTGTAGTCGTCCGAAAGAAATAAACGCATTACGGACATAATACGACGATGGCAGCATTGTTGCATGAATGCCAAAACTAACGCGATCCTAAGACACTTCCCTGGGGACTACCGACAATAATAAGGGCTTCCTTGAATTGTCATGTCAACTAGAACTTGTTGAATTCCGCATTTATCAGGACATTCCCGTATCCAATATTATTACGCGATGGTCAACTCCCGTAGATGCAATTTTCGTAAGTAGTATATCGTGCGAAACAAGATCGAATGCGTTTGAAAAATCTATAACAATTGTGTTCTCTTTCCCGAATCTAAAGTTTCAGCAATATCTTGACACGTAATAATTTGGATTTCACAAGAGAAGTATTTTCGAAATCCATGTTGCCCTTCGTATAACCCCCCTAATTTGTATGTAGAAGATTCCATGGCTGAATCCTCGTTCGTAGCACTTTCATTGTGTGGTAGGTAAATTGATGAAGTTGCTTTGCGGAATACCGCTGGAGTTAGTAGCACTTAAAGAGCATTGTTGACTACGTTGCCTGTTGATTCACATCGAATGCCCTTGGTGAAAGTTGTTCGATGCTCTGGATTAACACCATATTTCACTTATTGTACTTATTACAAGAAGCACTTGACATATAAACTGGTTTGTCGGTATATGGGGCGGGCCCGTACCGAAGCTAGCGTGCTGACTTTTACGAGCCCTCTGCGATGTGAACGGTTCGGTTGACGGGACTCGAATGAATTCCACTAGTCTTCAATGGAAAGAGAGAGAGAGAGAGAGAGAGAGAGAGAGAGAGAGAGAGAGAGAGAGAGAGAGAGAATAAATAAGACCCATTGCAAACACAGTCGTCTCTGATTTAATTCTTTTTTCTCCTTTAATTACACAAAAGATACGTTATAGTTGCTTATACAGTTCTCTCTTCGAACATTTTTTGGGTTAACAGTCTGCTTGTGTAAAACGCTTACAAAGAAGAATTTGTTTTTGTATTTTGTTATAAAATACATGTGAATCGTTCTTGTTAAGTACTAATTTGTACTTGCAGCTTTTAAATATTACAAGTAACATTTCGAAACATTGCTTGAAATTATGAAATATATAAGTTTATTTAACAGAACATACTGCTTTGTTTAGGAATCTTGTTTTAAGAGATCAGAGAGCATTTTCCATCCATTTGGCACTGGGCCACAGGAGCATTTGGAAAAAAACTAACAAAAAATCCGATGTTTTTTACATTTACTGGATATCAGGTTTGTCTTTTTGAATTTTGTATTTAAATATCGTTTTTACATAGATATTTAAATACGTTCTACAACAAAGAAAAAGGTTTCAGTAGATTCACAGATAGCAAAGACTTGGGATGGGATATTTGGAGAAGAATATTAACTCACTTATCAGTAATGCCTTTTGACAAACAGTGCTGTAATACAAGAGAAAGTAATGTTATAGCACTCCGAATCCGTTATGCAAACTCATCTTCGAAGTCCGTTTGTGCAGCTTCTGCTGAAACAAATCCCACACTTACTGCTCCATTATAGTCAAGTACAAGTGCTAAACCAACTCTGAATTCAGATGGCAGGATAGGATCCTCCAATACTCCAATCGTGCCGTTTCGAGGCCCCTTTCCCTGTCCAATCTCTACTTCCAAAAACTCCATTTCTTCTTCCGCTGTTGACTGCATAACCTCCTGTAGTAAATAGAAAGAATTTCCATATACACAAATATATTGTAATCACAGCGGATTATATTTTGTGAACTTACAGCATTATATTCTTCTACTATATAGAAACCGCTCGTGGGGACAAGGCTACAGAGTTCCTTGTCTACTTCTGAGTTCCAAATCAGACTTGTAGAATTTCCATTGGAAAGAAGTACCAGAAGAAGATACGTTCTGAAAATGTTAATGAGAAAATTGTAAACAAATATATAGCAGAGAAAAGAAAAAAATGATAAATTGGAAGGTACGTACCCGTTGATACCAGGAAAACCTTCTCCCAATGGCAACTTTACTCGATTGTTATCTAAAAGTTTTGGAGCTCGATTTAATTCAGGCCTTTCGGGCGATGTACTGAGGGTTATAAATGCCGAAGGCCCAATAGATATCGTTTTTGCAGAAACGCCAATAATGTATTTCGACGCTGGCATTAAGTCAATCACCTGAAATGAAGAGAAATGTTAAAGAGTCAAACTTGTTCGTAAGTCGATATTGTACGAATATTTCGCTGTAATTTGTCAGTAATTTAAAAGTACGAACGCATTCTCATTACGCAGAAACCAATCTTTATTTTACTAGAAATTGTTAATGTCTTGAAATCTTAATACAAAGAAACATTTTCCAAAACATTTCACAGGGTTATGTTAAGTACTTCAAAAATTAAAATATCTTAATGATCGCCAGAACGGCACTATTAGGTTGTACTCTTGACGTATTTACCTAGTTTCAGCTCAAATGCTTCTAATCTGAGAGAGTTATGTGTAACACATCTTCCATCCATACATGTAGACTTACCGAATTTCGGGTTCAAAAATTGTACCCGGAGCCAGATCTGGTACAACTAAATTATTCACTGTAATTTGTGACACGAATCCTAGCAACACGGCGATATGGCCAGTTCTTCTAAACAAAATTACGGTCCCTGACAGATAGGATGAATAATTTGTTCTCAGATGAACGTAAAGTGGAATTTTGGTTTAAATATCTGTATAAGTCTTAATACATTTTTTATATATCTGTATCGTAAGGTGGATTGCAGAGGTTGTGCAAAATAACTAGAAACGAACATTTTCTTAAAATTACGTCAAGTTAGCAATTCAATATTATATTCTCTTCAACTTCAAAAGAAAACATCCAAGTTATTTTATCAAGACTCCGTATTGGCCATTTTAAATGAAGCCACAGTCATTTATTTAAAAAGACAAATCCAGATCTATGTCCAAATGTTGGTGAAATGATTTCTACATTGCATTTATTACTTGAATGTCCTTTCACAAACCATCTCAGGAAAACTCAAAATTTAAAACTTGTATCTATTCGTTAATAAATTATAATTCGCAGTGCCAAAATTTTTAATTTCTGTGTTACGAAATTATAAAAATGTGTATCTCTTGTTAAAACACGTGCTTGTAATAATAAATGCATTTATTCTTGAATGATTTAAATTGTTAAAAAACAATGTTATAAAATATTGTTATGTAATCCAATATGTACATTTCATTATAATGTAAAATTGTAAACGAGATTTTGATCGCTTCTGACCATGCAGTTGCACAGCGATTTAAAATAAATTAAATAAAAAAAGCATTTTGTTACATTTCGTTACAAACACATAAAATGTTTTCTATAATTAATTTTTATAAATGATAACGTGGAAGAGAATATCTCCTTAATACGAAGTTGTCGGTGAAAGTCGAGTAATAAAGTAACGAACAGATATTTGTGACATAGAAAACATTGAATTCTAAGAAATTCACCGGCCGAAAGGAATCGAATCTGATTGGTATTCGCTATATCAGATCATTTTTGTTAAAACCCGGATCATCAACTACAAGGGAAACCGAGAAGGGCGGGGTGAGCTGCTGCCCTGGGCGGATGCTCAGATGCAGATGGACACTGCTTGTACTCCAATTTAAATAAAGTGACTTCTGACAGATCGTCATCTGTACGGGGTTATCCAATTGGGGGCTTCGATACGACTTTGCTAATTCAAGTTCCCGATTGGATACCGCGTTTCATCTGATTGATTCATTAGTGTTTCCGAGCGCGTCATCTGCTAAGACTATGACTATTCATTAGTCCCGTAAGTGAAGTGCATGTTTTTTCCGCTGAATTTGGCGGTGATCTCTCCTGCTGAATAGCGAGATCTGGTGCCGACCTACTTCGGCTAGTGGGTTCGTCTCATCGAAGTATCACCAGCGGGGCACCGCCCAAACCGAAACAAGCTCTAAGCTACTGACATGTGTGGTAGCGTAATGTATTTGAGAGTAAGTTTGGGTAAGTAAGTGGTGAGGGTAGGACAAGAAAGGCGAAGAGCAGATCGCGCGCAGTCCGTGGCCCGTTTGATAGGGAACTGCTCGGGCATTCGTCTGGTGTTGATCGGAGAAACCACGGAAAACTACCGATCAGAGCGGTCGGCTGCTAGAATTCTCCTCCAGATCGCAGCTGAATTCGACCTTGCTATATAGCTAATGACAAAAATCTTGCCACCGACGGGACTCGAATCCTTGGATGTCCCAGTCAGAGGCACTGCAGTAGTCACAGCTGATGATTTATCAGAAGCCACTGTTTAAAGTGGCGTATATTGGTGGTTCTTGCCCAGATTCCTGACGACAAAGCCGATAATTTTCTACGAGGCAGCCGGCGCTATAATGGAGCACCCGACAACACACTGTTTGATATGAGCTTGGATTTTTCTAAGACTTGTACCCGCCCTTTGATAAAGACCGGACCGTAAGTTCTTGTACCGGACGCGTAGCGGCAACACAATATTCCTGCTGACTCACTGGGCGACGTGTATATAACGCAGTCAGATGATTTGCTGTAGACGAAATAGTTCAATAGATAGGCGACGCCCATTCGGAAAATATAACATGCTACTTGCATTGGGCTGCGCTCATTGCACTACGGTGTCTTATCCCTTATCGTAACGAGTCAGCTCAAACCGCGAGATCGGCGAACGAAAGCGAAGAACTAGTGGTCGGAACGAAGGCAACCAGCTTCGTAGTTTAAATGAGAAGGGCGAGTATGAATTTATTTAAAACAATTTTGGAATAAAATGCGTTAAAACGTATGCGTTGAAGAAGCTCATGGATGTTTCATGTTAATCACCTATGCCAAAGATCAAAGGCTATTCATCAACTTTCAATAACAATACGACCTCAACGATGCTGTAATAATTGAGCACAAAAAGTACTTTGAAATAAAATACTTTGAAAATTGGTCATGATAATCGACGATAATGATTATCTATTTGGGTTTTTTAGCGTCAATTTTCTCACAAATGAGATTCTGGATTTGTGCTTCCACGACAGATAGAACTTTTTAGATACCCTAGATTTCAAATCTGCATTCAAAATTGGTTCACTGAAACCTTCTTAGCCGCTTCAACAAATCGAAATCCTTCAACAGTATTTGACATCGGAAACAAAAATGAGACAAAACATTAATTATTGTAACTAATCATCATATAAACCTGATAAAACTATTTTGTTTTCATGAGTCATCTCTGTACCCTTCCTGAAGCTGTACTCTTCCAAATATGTTTGAAGAATGATGAATTAATTTACCTTATGTTGGTACTTTCCGTCCTCGCTCTTCACAGGAACTTCTTGTAGAGGTGAATATACGCAACAATGCGAGGAATTTGCAGAATCCAGTTGTTCGACGTTAATGAGAAATGACCTGAGAATTCCATTAAACACAAATGGTGGCCCCCACTCCAGAGTAACGGAATCGGATGTTCTAGCAGACGCGAACAATGATGTAGGTGCCTCTGGAACTGAGAGGAAAGTACCTTTTAAAGAACTATGGTGCTATAATATAATGCTCTTTGCATTAATTCAAAGGATAAAACAATCCAATATATTTTGGTAATATACAATGTGGTATATACACTAGATCAGAGGTACAACCAGAGTGATTCATGTGAAATCCGATTGCAGTGTAAGGAAACGTCTGTAAGATTGACAAAGCACATTGCGATCGCGACGCTAGTGGGCCTCTTCGCCTCGCCCCTTCCCAGGTATTTACGACGCCCGCCCGAGTCTGCACTCGCCGATGGGAGGGGAAGCTTCGCCTCTGGGTCATATTTCTTTACACCCGTTAGCCATCCTCTTCTCGCACGCACCCTGTTTATAGAACAGGCCTGGTCCTGCAATGCGAAAAGTCCCCGGAGCTGATAAATTAGCTAATATGATGCAGTTAACTCAGACACCAAAGCGTCGCGCAATTGCACACGTGCAACAAGTGCCAAGGAAGGAAAATTCCATGAAAGCTCGATTGGTGGAGAATTGAGCCCGACCTTTATCCAAAAAGACAGCGAATATTCAGAGAAGGGATGAACTTGGGAGCCTGCAGGTTCGGAGGGAGAGAGAAGTCTTGTGGAGTGAACCGAGGGCATGCCGGAAAAAATATTATTACGAGAGAGTGGCTATCGGTGAGATGGGCTTGGTGTGATACAGATCGGAGGGAGGGCGCACTGAAGCAAGCAGTGGAATCAGTCGCCCAAGTTAAGCCTTGAGCATTTTTTTATTGTCGCGTAGACACTAGTTGAAGTTTTCCCCGTTCATTCAGATAGGACTGAAATTATAAATGATTATTCAGCCAAATTATTCATGAGGGCCGGAATATTCAAGTTATGAATTTATCCGCGACGTCTCCTGAAATCATCTGAGCCAACCGCAATAACCATAGACATTGCCACGTCGCACTAAACGGTAAAGAGAAGACACCGAGAGGTGAAATTGGGGCAAGGTCAGTTGGCCTGCCCCATTCACCGCATTCGGCGCGCCCCTGCGCCCCCTGACGGCGTCGGTCAACCCCTCGGCGCAGCAGCCTGCCTAGCTGTTGAGATTGCCGACCTCCACGAGCGCAGCGGACGAAACGAATCTCCACCTTTTTCAAAGGAAACTCATAGTTTGGGGCCTTCAAGCATAACGCTCTTCAAACTAAATCCATGACTCTTTGAATAATGTGTCTCTTTGAATTTGCGCGGCTGCGCGTTGGCCTGATTACCGATACCGGTAAGAAAAATTGTCATTAGCGTTAAGAGTAAATTTTAAAACTAACTTAACAAAAATTAAACATGAGCTCATTTTTTTCTAGAAATGGGGACGGGTTGTGTATTTTCGTCTGAAAGCATAAATCAAATGATGTCTGTTGTTCTATTGCCTACACTGTTTTTTGTTTTTGTGACCTGTAACAACGCCCTTCCTACATCCACTCGTTAAAAGGCATCCAGAAAAAGACACTGAGCTAGTCAACAAGTTTGGCTTTCCCGCCGTGGTGCTCGATCAGTATCAATTGATACGACAGTTAAACGTTCCTCAAATTGCTGTTTGCATCGCTTACATATTTTCATGCTGGGAAACTTTTTTCGGTGAAACCAATTTATTGCGTCGGCTAAAACAGTTTTCGAAACCACAATACGATGGATGGAAGAGCGTTGTACAGAGGTTAAAAATTTGTGGACCATACATGATGTGATTTCATACTACATTTTGATTGTGAGTGTTTTTGTGCTGTGTTGCGTGTGTTGATGTCGAGTGCGAGTGCGTAAAAAATTAGTCAAAATTTCAAATAACGCCACAATGTTCGATGAGTCAGGAGTTGATGTGGAGGGTTCTGATTGTTCAGGCAAATCACAGACGCAGGGAGTTAACATGAATGACCTAATGCAGCAGTTAACTCAGTTAATGAATGAAAATTCGCGGAAGTTAATAGAAAACGCAAGGGAATCGGAGGAAAGACTGACGAATCTGATAGCAGAACGAGCACGGGAAGCAGATGAAAAACTGAATAAGTGGTTTTCAGAACATGAAGTAAAATGAAATGAACGTTTTGACCAACTGCAGAGTTGTTTCGACCAACAGGCAGAAAAATTGTGTCATTTATAGAAAAGATTCGAACATGAAGTAGGGACGATAAAGAATCAAGTAGAGGAGAAATGCGGTGAAATCGAAAATCGAGTGAGAAAGGTAAGTGAGGAACTTAATTATTCTCGGTCAGAAACTAGGAGAAATTTTGACAAGTTAGAAATTGAAATGAACCGAAAATTAAAAAGTTGTGAAAACCAGTTTGAAGGTCTAGATGAATCTCTCACGAGAAGCGTAATGGCAAAAAGGAAATGAGTGAAAGTTTCAGCCAAGTTGACCAGAAACGCCATTTAGAGGTTAGCCAGATCCAAGAGAAATTTAATGAAATTGGGCACGCAAACGAAGGTGAAATTAGGGAAATAAAATTTAAGTTAAAAGGGTAATCGATCAGAGTATTAAAGAATTAGTAAGGGCAGAATTTAAGAAGGATCGTGGTAATAACCCGAGGAATTCTTCTAACGAGGGATCAGTTATCCGATTCTTCTGCCCCCCTCCCCAAAGCCTGTTTTTCAGGATCCCTAGATGAAAATCCCAATGTGTTTTTAGATCAGGCTAAAACTATATGGCGTTAACCAGAGCAGTCCTTCCCTCATCAAAGCCTAAGTTCATGCAAGAATTATTACCAGGCAACGCAGAGCATTGGTTGACGGCGCTCGCGCCATTCCCCATTCCCAAAATATTGTGCTTTCGCACTCGACTTTTGTCTAGGTACTGGGGAGAACAGAAACGCTATGAATTTCAGAGAAACATTTTGGAATACAATGGGACAGACGTGATAGCAGGTCTTGCTAGGACTACGCCATGAGAAAAATCTCAGCAATTAAACTATGTGATCCCCTGGCCATTGACCGAAAAATTATTTGGTTATTAACAGCTTATATTACAAATGATGTCCAAAATTTAATTAACAGCGTAGGATGAAGCGACCTCGATAAATTGCATAAGTTGCTCGCCTAATTTGACCGTACACGGCCTTCCTATTATGAGGAGAACAGGGAGGGGAATTTTAGTAATCCCCTGGTCGGAGCTAGCATAAGAGGCGACCGTGGCATCGCGATGAGAGGCAAGGGGAAGACGCGAATAATGGCCCGCCCTCCGGATCATCCGGCTGATCGGAACTGTCACAATAACAATGCTAATAATGTGCCACGCCGGGTCCATCAAACTAAAACCGTTTGGGCTTTCTGAGTATCTGGGTCCCAAACGCATGGAGTCAGAGATACCATTCACTGAAACTATGCCCGTCAGCGATGTTTTCATGATTTGAGTGGCGATGATGACTATTGCATTAAATAACGTGCCCGAAAGTGGCCAGTATTAGAATTTGAAATTAGTAACATACCCGTACGAGCTTTAATAGACGCGGGAAGCGAAATCCGCGCCATTTCCCAGAAGTTGTATTCGCGCCTCATTAGCGATAGCGTTCCAGTGCCGACCTTGCAGATAGTAAAATTGGAATGTGTTTATGTAATATGTATTTATTTATTAGTGAAAGAGGCGTTTGTAGGCACTATAAAAGACGCATATAATACGTACAATGCCTTAAATTGAATAAGTAACCGAAAATATTGCGTTTTCTCTCGAAAGAATAAAATAGGCAAAACTCCGCCGATTAGTCATTATATGTGCTGATATCTGGAAGACACTGACATTAGTAGACCTTACAGACAAGAATCAAGGAGTGAAATTTAAAACATTCATGTAATCATTCTCTGAAATTCTACGTCTCCTCGCCACACAATTTTAATTTTGGAAAGTCGTGAATAGTTGGTAACTGAAGAAGTTTATCTGCCTTAGGCAATATAAAAGCATCGTTTCCAGAGCGATCAAAATTTACAAATTACCATCTGTACTTGACTGAAGTTGTAAATGAAAATACATAATCCTCTGCCTCAATTATCTTAATCTTATTTTATAATAATTATCATTATAAACAAGTATAATTGTTTCAACGGGAATAAATATTGTGAAATAGTTGTTCAATAGGTATTAGCAATATTAACGAAGATATTACCGCCTTCAGATGTGACAGTATTAACAGTGACGGCTTCTCCGTAGTCGTTCACAAGAACATTGCGGGCCCTTATCTGAAAAAGAACAAGCCATCAGTGCAAGTCATTTTTCAACAGAACGTCATCTAATTCGCCACAGTATGACATGAACAAAAACAGGTAACATTAAATTTACGATATTCATTCATTTTTCATTTATACAATTAAAACATTCGTTTTGTCGTCTTTCTAGTATATCCTTCTGGGCGAACTCAACAATGCAAAACACATAAACAAACCTTGGTTTACTCCCAAAACAATCTGAAACTCTTTTACTTCCCTTTTATACCGACCAACATACACCTCACCAGCCCTCTTAAATTGACGATACTTTCCAATGTTGCCTCGCTTCTCGTCCAATTTTCTAAATAATAAATTTACTGGACTATTAAATAAAAGCAAACAATTCCCTTCATTGCTTCTACAATGTGTCTAATAAATTTTCAAGTAAATACACCTGCCCGTTAATCTAACTTCTTGCACTATCTCTCGTAACCAAAGCCTATCGACCTTCACAAAAGTTCATCTCCTCTCTTCTTTACTAAACTTTTAAACACATTCCATCCTACCCATCTGCGAAATGATTTTTTTCCAACCACCGGATCTCAAATTTTCTAACATAGGTATTTGACAAATACAACATCCTTGTTTTTGTCTATTCTTGTTATAAACAATACTGTCAATTTTTTAGTAAACAATTATTTTCACGTTTATGAAACTAAATACAGTATTTACCGTACCATTATTCTCTTGCTTTCCAATTGAAAGAAGGGATTAATTTACCATCGTCCACACAAAAAAGTCTTAACTCATCTGTATTAACGATACTCGATTGTATGTTCAATTTCTTTCTTAATCAAATCATTCCGAAAAGTCATGACCAAGTGAAGCTTCTTAAAACGAACCCTAAGAGTTAATCATCAGTATCTTTTAGTCTTCACTTGTTAGCAGAGTTGTGAAAGTAACAAATTCTGTTCTGTGTAGAGATACATCCCATCACACCACTCACGTTACATGTTTCAAGGTAATTATTGACATTTTTACTGTTATTTTTGAGAACTGAGTGTTGAATGAGAACAAAACCAATATTTTGCCTCGCAACTCAAAGTTCATAAATGTGCCAAGTCAAAGCCAACATGATCTCAGAAGTCAACAACCCAACAAATCTAACCCAT